AATTCTGGTGGTTGAGGGCACTGGAGCCAGGAACAGTGTTCCTTTTGCCCAACACACCACTTCGGCCCTTACTTCACCTAGACGCGTGGTAGAATGGGCCCGGTTCTACCAATCGGCTGGTCATGCCAAGCCCTGTGCATGTATATTTTGCTGCACAAATATATTATATTGTCAAATGTTTCTATCAAGTGTCTTGGCTTGATGATGTTTCCTTCAAAATTCAAATTAGAACTTTCATTCCATAAATTGCCCAGAGTCTTATGCCCAGAAGGCGGTGGCTCATGGGCCAATCTGGTTGAGTAATTATTTATAAATCTTCTGCTGAAGTATATCATCCAAGTATCCTTGGTGCTGCAAGTCGGACATCCACTTGTTTTTAGCATTGTCTATATGATACTCCGTGGTGGTTTGGGAGCTTGGATGACGAACCAATCTAACAACAACCATGGATAATCAAACTCCTAACAAAAAAAACAAACGTCCACTTGAAAACGATTATCAGCAACGACCCTTCATATCTATCGATTATTGGCCATGATGTTTTGTTATCGAGACTCTCGACAAGACTCCATTAACACTAAACCCTTTTGCAATTTCTAAAGGTGTCTCTGGAATAGCAGGAGAAGTTAAAAACTTCAAACGCTTGCGTACAGGATCGCTTCCTACTTTTAAAAATAATACTAGCTAGTTTTCATAATAATACTAGCTAGTTTTAACTCTTTTTGTGATACTCTAGTTATTTTACAGTCCGTCGGTGACTGGGTATTTAAATACTTGTATTTATTGTGTATGTACAACATTTCTCGTCACTATATGACTGAAATATTAACTCACTCACTCACTCACTCACTCCTCAAAGGAGGTGAAAAGGGATCAGCATGTTTTTGAGTGCAAAACAGCATCCATCTTTGGAGATAACCACCATACTGTTTGTGTGTGGAATCTTTCAATGGCTGCAGAATGAGGTCTGTAGCTTGTTCTGAAATTCCTTTACTTTGTACTGTTCCCTGATAACTTGACGGCTGCTAGTCTCAGCTTTTTGTACAGGGGATGTCTGGCTGTTGGACGGTTGCTCAAGGTAAGAAGGTCTGGTGATCTTGGTAGTATCCTCGGGCAGTCGGTCAGTAATTGCAGTACTTCGCTGAACCAGGGTTGTGTTGTCCAGATTGGAATCACCATCAGTACATCGGCTTCTTCTCCCTGAACCTTCCTTAGGACTCGTCCGATAACACTAAAAGGACAAAACACGTATTCACATGAATGTCCCCAAAACAGTGAAACAGCATCCACTGCTTCAGCTTCTGGGTCAGGGTACCACGACACATAACGACTAAGTTGTCTATTTAGTCTAGAGGCAAATAAATCACGAGATGGTATGTCGAAGAGGCATGTTAGTCTTCTAAACACAGAAGAGTCTGGTTTCCATTCCTTATCATCTGTGGCATTTCTTGACTGCCAATCAGCTTCAGTATTGCCCACCCCAGGGAGGTGAGCTGCTGAGATCCATAAGTCTCGTCCCATACACCATTTCCACTACTTCCTTGTGATATCATTACAAGCGGACTTTCTGCCCCCCATGTTATTAACATAGGCAACCGCTGTGGTATTGTCTAGTAGTAATCTGAAGTGTGTGTTAGAACGATCAGAACAGAGCACCTGAAGGAAAAGCCAACTCGAATGCAATTCCAGAACATTAATATGGTTCTCCTATTCTTCACTTTATCACAGTCCCCTAGTATTCCTATCGTCCTTCTTTTCTTCCTGCAATACTCCTCCCCAACCAGACTGAGAAGCATCTGATTTTATCACCAAAGTTGGCTGATTCTCTACTAATGATTGGGGATATTTTCCTACATTGTCTATCCACCATTGTAAGTCACTAACACAAACATCATCTAATGTCACTGGACCATCGTAGTCCCCTCTTGAGAATTGTAACGCTCTATTTCTAACAATCTCCAAGTGCTTATAATATAGAGGTGCATACCTTACTCCATGTCCAGTCGCATTTAATTGTCCTATCAGAGCAGCCATCTCTCTAATAGACAAATTGTCTCTTCTCAGGAAGTTCAAACACAAATTCCTAATTTTCTCTACTTTCTCACTTGTAAGGTTCACAGTCATTTTCGAACTATCAATATCAAACCCCAAATAAGTGATGCACTTCACTGGTTGGAATACAGACTTCCCAGGATGAACAGTAAAACCTAAACTGTCAAGGGTATTTACTGTTTTATGCACATTTTCAATGCAGTGTTCCTTTGTGTCCCCTACCAGTAAAGAATCATCCATATAAGAGGTGTTTGAAAACCCTTCCTTTCTTAGAGCTGAGAACACTGGTTTTAGCACTTTTGTGAAAATTCGAGGGGCTGATGAGAGTCCATTGGGGAGACAAGTGAATTGGTATAACACATTATTCCAATAGAAACGTAGATATTTTCTATCTTCTTCACATACTGGCACAGAGAAATAAGCATCCTTGAGATCAATAGATGCAAAATAGCAGTCTTTCTGCACAAGATACAAAACAGTCTTAAAAGTGTCCATTTTGAAGTGTGGTGACACAGTAGTCTCATTTAATGGTCTTAGATTTAAAATAATTCGCATGGGATTGTCCTTTTTTGTTCTTGAAAATATGTTGCAGATAAACTCATTTTCTTCATGCTCACACATTTCAATTATTTCCTATTCAAGCTGGCAACTTCCCTGTCTACCTGTTTCCACTCATTCCCCTTAAAAAGGATGGATGTAGGGACAAACGTTTGTTGTGGTAGGGACGTGAAGTCAATGTTAGCTCCTTTAACACATGACAATGTCCAATGGTCTGAAGTGATAGACTGCCAGTTCTCATAATGCAAGGCAATCTTCCCTGCCTTATAATTTTCAGGAGTGTTCAAGGTCAACACATTTAACTCCTTCCCAACAATGTAGCTCATCTGTTCATATTCACTTGAGGAAGTTATTGTTTCCGCAGGTCGTGTCTTGTGCCGGATGACCGCTAGCCTAAAAAAACACTCTGTCTGTAAGGGCCCTGTGTAGGGGTTGATCTTCCCCGTTCGGAGGTCCCATCATGGGATCCTCTTCCTTTCACTGGTAGCCCTTCTTGTGACCCCTGAAAGAACTATCATAGGGCTTATATCTGTTGCCAAAACCTCCTCTAAAGGACTGCTGAAACCCTCCTTTGTGTGCGTTGTCACCATGTAACGTCCTGCTTAATTCCTTTGCTTCATTGATGTCTTTAATGTTCTTTGAGAGGTCATCCCCAAACAGCTTTGTCGTGGTAGCTATCCCAATGGCACACAATCTCTTGTATGGGCCTTGTAAGTCGGGCTTGAAGTTTTCACGCCGTTTCACTTCATAGCTGTGTGGACTCCCATAAGCAGGCGAAGGGAATCTTTAGTTTTGGCCAAAAGTTCTTATAGATTAACACCTTGTTTTTGCATAACTGCATTCATTAAAGTGTTCATAATCTCCACAAGGGGAATGGCAGTTTTTACAAGCAAACCTTGTGTCTGTTGCAGCTTCAGATCACGACCTCTAGTGTGAGGCCTTGCCTCGTTCCAAATTTCCTCATTGACACGAGGAACTACCAAGAGTTCTGTATTTCTCGGCCTCTTATATTTGTCCATCAATGGTTTAAGTTTCTCCATGTTTGGGGTCTTTGCTAAGCCATCGTTAATGGATTTTGCAAGCTCGCAGAGAATCTCGGCCCCCGTTTCATCTTCTTCATCAAAAAACTCTCTCATGTTAGCCATTAGACTGTCAATGTCGATCCAGTCGTCGTTTGCATGTTGCTCTGTGTCCTTGGAATCACCTGCATTCATGCAATTTCACAAGTATGTCCATATCGTCCATATGCTCGGCTCGGCCGGTTTGTCACCATCGTCGACATCTTCGGTTTCACTGTCACCTTCCTGCGAGCTATCATGGGCGCCATCTTGGAGACATTCGGAAGTGCTCGGCTAATTCCGTGAATCTCCGCCTGAAGCCAGTCGACTGCTGATCAGATCCAGCACTGACCCAATTTTCTCCATGGTCTGTGACTGCTCTGCCTGGCCCTCAGTGAGCCGCTGTAGTGCCTTCTCCACCCCACGGGCCTCCCCTATGGGAAGTTTATCGCCAGTTTTAGGTTGCTCAATCTTATTTCTCTTTCCTCCCTTGGAGGTCGTGTCTGTGTCAGTGGGAATCTCCATGAGATTGTCCACATAATCAAAAAGTCCGACTTTGTCTACTTCAGGTTCAATGACCTGTTCGTTGGTCACACTCGGTGCCGGCGCCATTTTGGCTGACCACAACCCTTGGCCGTCTCGGTCAAAACAAAACTGGGATAACAAGCTCAGTCACCACAGAATCCAGGTATAGACGTCTCCAATCTCGAAAGTCACTCCAATAACAGCACTTGTCAACGTCCATTTCTCGAAAGGACTCCGAAACTTGCAATAAGAGCGGAAATTAACGGAGCTAATGAACACACTAATTAGACTGGGGCTCCTTTCACGAAGCAATCTTTACTAAGGTTAACCTTAACTCCCATTCTTTAACACTGCACTAAGGTTACCTTAGTGACTTACGATCACCTTAGTGTTTTGTGAAAGGAGGCCCTGATTAACAACTCAAGCATACTGATAACACAGCGCATGCGCACATCTCACGGAATTACGAAAGTACGGATTAGGGAAGTGGAATTTTGAAATGTTCTCCACATGTCGACCATAAAAGTATTTCCAACCCGATTTTGGCTTTTACGCCTTGTCAAGTATGTCTCAGCAGAATTTCGAGACCATTACCTCGTTTCAATTTTACTAATCAATGACTCCTTCCATAACTGTATTCGATCTAGCTAATCTTTGAAAGATTGCTTCACATAACTGGATATCGACTGTGACGCTGAATTATTCAGAAAGTACGCACATAAAGGTATCGATGATGCGTTTCCCAATTAACATGATGTATTGCGCGTTGATATCTTTACCACAGTTTGAACGGTCGTCGACCTGAAGTCAATATGGACCCCAATAGCATGTCCTTTTTCCCAGTTCTTGCCGTCGTCCTACACGAGGCCCGAGGACTGTGTCAACAGGGATCACTGGCAGCTTCAGCCGTTCACAGGGGCAAGGAATTTGTTGCCGACTCCTTCGAATTTCAGGGTATATCGAGTGTGAACACCTTGATCAACTGTGGTCGGTTGTGTTTAGCTCGATCAGAGTGCAAATCGTTCACTTACAATGACGCTGACGGGACATGTAAAGCCTTCACTATCACAGCAAACAACTCGTATCCCCTACAGACATCCAGCGTTTCCACTATGGTCTACGTTGAGGCAGACCAACTCCCTAAGGTCAGTAGTTTGTCTGCAGTTACGGGGCTTTCAGATATATGTACTACAGAGGCGGATCCAGGACGAGGGGGTTTCGAAGCCATTGAACCCCTCCTCTGCTCTGCCAATGCAAAACATTGACTTCAATGTGGTCTTAAGTGATTTTCATTGTCCCTGACCCCCAACCCCCACCCCTCTGGATCCGCCAATGTACTAATTAGCAGTAGAGGGGTTTCAGGGTTATGTACTGATTAGCAGTGGAACGGTTTCAGGGTTAGGTACTAATTAGCAGTGAAACGGTTTCAGTGTTAGGTACTAATTAGCAATGGTTTCGTACTAATTGGCAGTGGACGGGTTTCTGGCTGGGTGCTATGCAGTCAATGAAGTCAGTGTACATCATAATATATGCAGTACATGATGCATGCAATAACCGCGCGCAGTATTTAAAACATTTGGTTATAGTAATTCGAGAAGGAAGGACGTTATAGGAGCCTGGTGAGCACAACTAGGACTGAGCGACTACTGCTAAACTCAACAGTAAAATACACTGTTGTGTGTATTTACAAAAGAGGATGCACTTCACTTTCTTCCAATACGGTTATTCAGTAACTGTGATAATGCTTCTTTCAATACGACATGTATTCCTCTGACATATATACACCGATTTAATTACAAGTATGTCCTCTCTTCTGTCACAGATTCTTGCTGGACCATGTGGAAACAGACCCTGTCAGCCATTCGAGGCTTGCGTTGAGGAAAGTTCAACAAGCTATCGCTGTGCTGCTATTGGTAGGTGTCATGCATAGCCTATTCTCGTACAACCTATCACTTGTTATCACTAACCTGTGCTTGGAAAGGCATTACCGTCGCCAACCCGACAATAATCTGATTCAGAGTTATCACATGATATCACATGATATTTCGACAATTAATTGAAGTACCATTTGAGTGAGCGAGCGAGCGAGCCAGTCAGTGAGTCAGTCAGTCAGTGAATGAGTCAGTCAGTCAGTCAGTCAGTCAGTCAATGAGTCAGTCAGTCAGTCAGTGAGTGGGTGGGTTCCCCTTTGTACAGCGAATTGTCGCACTGGGTCACTCCTCTTCGGTTCTTGTACATATATTTACTTGTAATGAAATATGCATACGGTAGTATATGTTGTGAATGTGTACCTATCAGTTCTCGTCTTACAGGTCGCTGTAGACATACCTCTGCCCCTCAAGTCCCAAATGCCGACGTTGTCTACCTCTCCGGCGTCAAAGCCGAGTACACATGTAGCGTTACCGCTCCTACGCCAGTCTCCAGCAACGTACAAAGCTGGTGTATCGGAAACAACATCTGGACTGAACCCAACATCAAATGTATTGAAAGTACGTAGGTTTTATCAGGGTAGCTTATTTCGAAATCTAGTTCACACCAGTAGTCTATTTCATTCACACATGCACGCACGCTACACAACAGTACAGGGAATGACAGCATAAGAGATGTCGTCTCAGTATAAGTTTAGTTACTTTAAGCAATCTGAGTTGCTCATGACACTGCCCTCGTCGGAATTACTGTTGTCACTGCTGTATGGAGAAAGTGATGGCCCTAATCAGCCACCATAGCTGAAGGTCACAAGTATAGCTGGGACTGTTGCTTGCTGAAGTCCATCACATGACCAGACTCGCAGTGGCAATGGTGTGTGTGTGTGTGTGTGTGTGTGTGTGTGTGTGTGTGTGTGTGTGTGTGTGTGTGTGTGTGTGTGTGTGTTTGTGTGTGTGAGTGTGTGTGTTTCGTAGGCATTGACCTTTTATGTTAATGTCAACTAAATACCTAGTGCTTCGTTAGATCATGATTTCATTGCGCTGTATAGTCCGTTTGCCTCAAAATCGGACCGATGAATTGGAATCTAACTCGAAAAAAACTAAACATATAATATTCAATGAAACACTGATCATAATCAAAATATCAGACCAACTCTGTGATTTTTTCGCAGAATTTATGTCCTAAAAAAAGTTGTTCAACAAACTATCAGCCAACACAAGTGCAGACAAAGTCATTGATTCATTAACCTGTGCTGTGCCGTCGCCATCCTTTCTCGCACATCTGGCTGTTCCTCTCTTTGCACCCCTCCCTCGTATCAAATACTCTGACATCAGTAGTCTTTTGGTAGGTCAGTGCTTGACGCCTCCAGTACTTACCAACGCTGATCTGGTGAACGTGGGGGCTCTTGAAGCAACTTACATGTGCTCCAAGGGTTACATCAATGTAAGGGCGACAACCAACACCATCTTTACCAGCTCGTGCAGCAGCGACAACACGTGGACCACACCTAACTACAAGTGTAGTGATAGTAGGTTAAATTTCTCATCGTATGAAATGAAGTATTATCTAAACAGTTTTATTCACTGGATAGAAACATGACAATTAGATCCAGTTTTAAGGTGGGGGAGAAAATATTATTTTAAAATGTTAAACGTAGTAAAACGTGTTCACAGCATAAAGGCAAAATTTCGAATGTATTTTTGAAACTTGTTACAAAACCATATGTTTATATAAAGCCTTGTGGACTTAACATCTGAATTAAGAGGTTGAAGAAACCCTTTTTGTCTCAGTCTTGTTTCTTGTGCGACGACCGCCATACCGCTGGAATGTTGCTGAATGTGGCGTGAGTTAATGTAGCTGTGCAATATGTTGGGGACTGTTCACTGTTGTAGACTTAATCCACCTTTTCCACTCACTCATGCAAAGCAGAGTGAGTGAGTGAAAGTCTGAGTGTCTGTTTGTCTGAGTGTCTGTCTGAGCGTCTGTCTGACTGCCTGTCTGTCTGAGCGTCTGTCTATCTGTCTAAGTGTCTGTCTCTCTGAGTGTTTCTGAGTGTCTGTCTGTCTGAGTGTCTGTCTGAGAGTCTGTCTGTCTGAATGTCTATGTGTCTGTCTGAGTGACAGTCTCTGTCTGACTGAGTGTATGTCTGTCTGAGCGTCTGAGTGAGTCTGTCTGACTGAGTGTATGTCTGTCTGAGTGTCTGAGTGAGTGTCTGTCTGTCTCTGTGAGTGTCTGTCTGTCTAAGTGTCTGAGTGAATCTCTGTCTGTCTGAGTGTCTGTCTGTCTGAGTATCTGTCTGTCTGAGTGAGTGTCTGTCTGTCTCTGTGAGTGTCTGTCTGTCTGTCTAAGTGTCTGAGTGAATCTCTGTCTGTCTGAGTGTCTGTCTGTCTCCGGTATGGTCAGTCACGCTATAACCGTCTATCCAACCATCATTTACCGTATATGAACGAAGATAACCTGAAAATATTACATCAACAGGAGGGGGCGGTGGGGTAGCCTAGTGGTTAAAGCGTTAGCTCGTCACGCCGAAGGCCCGGGTTCGATTCCCCACATGGGCACAATGTGTTAAGCCCATTTCTGGTGTCCCCCGCCGTGATATTGCTGGAATATTGCTAAAAGCGGCGTAAAACTAAAAACTCAGTACATCAACAGGAATCACACATCAAATACAAACTTGTGCAAGTGGTATTTAACATCTGACTCTCGCGTCTGTTTCTTTTCATCTGCAGCCAAGGATTGCTATTATTACAATACTACCAGGGGCAGAGGCATCTACAGCGGCCTTGTGGCAACCACTACATCTGGAAAGGCGTGTCTCGACTGGTCAAACACCAACAAAGCTGACAGTGTCACACAGGCAAGTCTCAGTCCCGAGACACTCGCTGATGTCCGCAACTACTGCCGTGATGCTGGCGAGGGCTACTGGACGTACCCATGGTGTTTCACTGAGGAATGGACACCAGAGGCCTGCGGAATACCACACTGCTAACTGGAATTACAAATCTTACTGAAATTATGCATTTTTTCAGAACGCTGGTCAGATAATCAAACACAGACAGTACCAGATGAAGATGAAACATACAGACAATTCAGGGCTGGTGGTACCACACACGGGTATAACATACAGACAATTCATGCTGGTAGTACCTTACACAGGTATAACATACAGACAATTCATGCTGGTGGTACCATACACGGGTAAACATACAGACAATTCATGCTGGTGGTACCTTACACAGGTATAACATACAGACAATTCATGCTGGAGGCACTATACACAGGTAAACCTACAGACAATTCATGCTGGGGGTACCTTACACAGGTATAACATACAGACAATTCATGCTGGTGGTACCTTACACAGGTATAACATACAGACAATTCATGCTGGTGGTACTATACACAGGTGTAACATACAGACAATTCATGCTGGTGGTACCTTACACAGGTATAACATACAGACAATTCATGCTGGTGGTACTATACACAGGTATAACATACAGACAATTCATGCTGGTGGTACAATACACCGGTGTAACATACAGACAATGTTATGCTGTAGGTACCTTACACAAGTATAACATACAGACAATTCATGCTGGTGGTACCTTACACAGGTATAACATACAGACAATTCATGCTGGTGGTACTATACACCGGTATAACATACAGACAATTCATGCTGGTGGTACCTTACACAGGTATAACATACAGACAATTCATGCTGGTGGTACCATACACGGGTAAACATACAGACAATTCATGCTGGTGGTACCTTACACAGGTATAACATACAGACAATTCATGCTGGAGGCACTATACACAGGTAAACCTACAGACAATTCATGCTGGGGGTACCTTACACAGGTATAACATACAGACAATTCATGCTGGTGGTACCTTACACAGGTATAACATACAGACAATTCATGCTGGTGGTACTATACACAGGTGTAACATACAGACAATTCATGCTGGTGGTACCTTACACAGGTATAACATACAGACAATTCATGCTGGTGGTACTATACACAGGTATAACATACAGACAATTCATGCTGGTGGTACCTTATACAGGTATAACATACAGACAATTCATGCTGGTGGTACTATACACAGGTGTAACATACAGACAATTCATGCTGGTGGTACCTTACACAGGTATAACATACAGACAATTCATGCTGGTGGTACTATACACCGGTATAACATACAGACAATTCATGCTGGTGGTACAATACACCGGTGTAACATACAGACAATGTTACATGCTGGTGGTACCTTACACAGGTATAACATACAGACAATTCATGCTGGTGGTACCTTACACAGGTATAACATACAGACAATTCATGCTGGTGGTACTATACACAGGTATAACATACAGACAATTCATGCTGGTGGTACAATACACCGGTGTAACATACAGACAATGTTATGCTGTAGGTACCTTACACAAGTATAACATACAGACAATTCATGCTGGTGGTACCTTACACAGGTATAACATACAGACAATTCATGCTGGTGGTACTATACACCGGTATAACATACAGACAATTCATGCTGGTGGTACCTTATACAGGTATAACATACAGACAATTCATGCTGGTGGTACTATACACAGGTGTAACATACAGACAATTCATCCTGGTGGTACCTTACACAGGTATAACATACAGACAATTCATGCTGGTGGTACTATACACCGGTATAACATACAGACAATTCATGCTGGTGGTACAATACACCGGTGTAACATACAGACAATGTTATGCTGTAGGTACCTTACACTAGTATAACATACAGACAATTCATGCTGGGGGTACCTTACACAGGTATAACATACAGACAATTCATGCTGGTGGTACCTTACACAGGTATAACATACAGACAATTCATGCTGGTGGTACAATACACCGGTGTAACATACAGACAATTTTATGCTGTAGGTACCTTACACAAGTATAACATACAGACAATTCATGCTGGTGGTACTATACACAGGTATAACATACAGACAATTCATGCTGGTGGTACTATACACCGGTATAACATACAGACAATTCATGCTGGTGGTACCTTATACAGGTATAACATACAGACAATTCATGCTGGTGGTACTATACACCGGTATAACATACAGACAATTCATGCTGGTGGTACCTTACACAAGTATAACATACAGACAAGTCGAGGCTGGTGGTACCATAACTTGAGATAATATGAAGATTTGTACCTTAAGTGGGTATAACATTTGGACTGATGGTTGTTGTATGCATGGAACAGATTGAGTTTCATGTAGTCGACAAGACTGACTCAGGGCGCGCTGGGTAGCCTAGTAGTTAAAGCGTTGACTCGTAACGACGAAAACCGGGGTTCGATCCCCCACATGGATACAATGTGTGAAACCATGTCCCCTGCCGTGATATTGCTGGAATATTGCTAAAACCGGCATAACAATACACTCACTAAATCAATCACTCACTCACCCACTCAGTTTGCGGTTGAAAGCAAAATAAACAGAAAATATGGAATGATATAATTAGGTTGGGAGTATATGTAAATATAGTTGTAGTACATGTAACTGTATATAATCCATATAACTGTAGATTAGATGGTGTTACATGTTGTACGTCTGATAAATATAGATATTCCATAAGTGAAGATTAGTTGATATTACATGTTGTACGTCTGATAAATATAGATAATCCATAACTGTAGATTAGTTGATATAACATGTTGTACGTCTGATAAATATAGATATTCTATAAGTGTAGATTAGTTGATATTACATGTTGTACGTCTGATAAATATAAATATTCCATAAGTGTAGATTAGTTGATATTACATGTTGTACGATATTCCTGATAGAATATAGATTAGTGTAGATTAGTTGATATTACATGTTGTACGTCTGATAAATATAGATATTCCATAAGTGTAGATTAGTTGATATTACATGTTGTACGTCTGATAAATATAGATATTCCATAAGTGAAGATTAGTTGATATTACATGTTGTACGTCTGATAAATATAGATATTCTATAAGTGTAGATTAGTTGATATTACATGTTGTACGTCTGATAAATATAGATATTCCATAAGTGTAGATTAGTTGATATTACATGTTGTACGTCTGATAAATATAGATATTCCATAAGTGAAGATTAGTTGATATTACATGTTGTACGTCTGATAAATATAGATATTCCATGAGTGTAGATTAGTTGATATTACATGTTGTACGTCTGATAAATATAGATATTACATAAGTGTAGATTAGTTGATATTACATGTTGTACGTATTGTAAATATATATAACTATAAGTGTAGATTAGTTGATATTACATATTGTACGTCTGATAAATATAGATATTCTATAAGTGTAGATTAGTTGATATTACATGTTGTACGTCTGATAAATATAAATATTCCATAAGTGTAGATTAGTTGATATTACATGTTGTACGTCTGATAAATATAGATATTCCATAAGTGAAGATTAGTTGATATTACATGTTGTACGTCTGATAAATATAGATATTCCATAAGTGTAGATTAGTTGATATTACATGTTGTACGTCTGATAAATATAGATATTCCATAAGTGTAGATTAGTTGATATTACATGTTGTACGTATTGTAAATATATATAACTATAAGTGTAAATTAGTTGATATTACATGTTGTACGTCTGATAAATATAGATATTCCATAAGTGAAAATTAGTTGATATTACATGTTGTACGTCTGATAAATATAGATATTCCATAAGTGTAGATTAGTTGATATTACATGTTGTACGTCTGATAAATATAGATATTCCATAAGTGTAGATTAGTTGATATAACATGTTGTACGTCTGATAAATATAGATATTCCATAAGTGTAGATTAGTTGATATTACATGTTGTACGTCTGATAAATATAGATATTCCATAAGTGTAGATTAGTTGATATTACATGTTGTATGTCTGATAAATATAGATATTCCATAAGTGAAGATTAGTTGATATTACATGTTGTACGTCTGATAAATATAGATATTCCATAAGTGTAGATTAGTTGATATTACATGTTGTACGTCTGATAAATATAGATATTCCACAAGTGTAGATTAGTTGATATTACATGTTGTACGTATTGTAAATATATATAATCTATAAGTGTAGATTAGTTGATATTACATGTTGTACGTCTGATAAATATAGATATTCCATAAGTGTAGATTAGTTGATATTACATGTTGTACGTCTGATAAATATAGATATTCCATAAGTGTAGATTAGTTGATATTACATGTTGTACGTCTGATAAATATAGATATTCCATAAGTGTAGATTAGTTGATATTACATGTTGTACGTCTGATAAATATAGATATTCCATAAGTGTAGATTAGTTGATATTACATGTTGTACGTCTGATAAATATAGATATTCCATAAGAGTAGATTAGTTGATATTACATGTTGTACGCCTGATAAATATAGATAATCCATAACTGTAGATTAGTTGATATTACATGTTGTACGTCTGATAAATATAGATAATCCATAACTGTAGATTAGTTGATATTACATGTTTTACCTATGGTAAATATATATAATCCCTAATTATACATTAACTCGAATTACATTTTGCGCATATGGTACATATATAAAACCCACAACGACAGTGCATGGTTCACACGTGGTACATGTTTACGACGTTATCTAATTTACATTTCTGAAACCGTATTGAAAACTCATTCAGTGTGATGTGTGCCTTCGACCAGAAGAAAATAAGCTAATTTGTGGTTAATGTAAATTTAGTTTTATGTCATGAAAATGTATCAAGCATCAACCTTTGATAGTTGTAACTTGTTTGTCATTTAATCTAAACAAACGCAAACCGCAAGTCTAAATACACTTACCTTTCATATCTTAAAGTTATAATTACCATGACACAAGCAATTCCAACTGTCAGTAAGCTCCTATCAATCTGGACTTACGATTTACCTTGTGACGATGAGGCTGTGTGATAGCTCGCTGCTCCTGACAGGCTGCATGAGTTGAATACTCCCCATGGAGTTGAGTTGGTTAAAGAATGCCAGAAAAAAAGACATCCATTGATCAAGGGAACACTCCAGCGCCTTGAGCATGTACTAGCATGTACTAGTTAGCGCTTAGAGCAGACACTTAGTGCCTGGAGTATTTTAGCGCTTTATAAATTCACTAATTATTATTATTATTACAAGTTGCGTGGATATGTGCACTATATGAATATCCTAAAACAATAACAAATGCAAGACATTTTGTCTGTGGATTTGATTTATGTGACAATACGTCATTCTATTGTTAGAGTACTCACCTTCACGTGGTTACGGAATGCCAAAATCTGTGTTCCCTCTTGGCTACGTTTGGGTATGTACTTTTTATACGAGGGCGCGAAATTTTTTCATAATTCATTGTATCATCTCTGTAATTTCTTTTAAAGACCACGGTCAATTTAAGATAATAAAACAAGTTTAAACAACCAATCCATACGCTTAGCATATACAATTTACACTGTGCTAGATAGAATGTATTGAGTCGCTTTTCTTGTTTACATGCAGCCATATTCATCAATGTTGTTTGATGTCACATAATAAATGTTAACAAAGAACACTGTCTTTATTGCTATAGTAACGGCTTATATATTGTGCTGTCTTTGAATCTGTACTGCCTCCGTAATACTTTGGTACTGGCGACTATTGATTTGTAAACTTCATTAATTTTAGAATACAGTTGTTAACTACATCCCATCTCTCTACTGTTTGTTTTGAAATTTACGGATTGATTTGCGGTTAACTTGTCCATGGATAGATCTCGCTAAAAGAAACCATCTTGGGGTGGAATGAGTGAGGTTAGCAATATTCCAGCAATATCACTGCCGGGGACACCAGAAATGGCCTTCGTACATTTACTCCGTCTGGGGAATCGAACCCGTGAAAAATGCGTTAATAAGTCATACAATAAACGTTACCAAAAAAATGTCTTTACGAATGCTTTAACCGCTAGGCTACCCCACGGCACCGTTTGGCATCATTTCTGTTGCCAAACATGACCAAGTGATCACATTTCTGTAGGAGCCAGTGTATGTTGGTTTTGTTGGATCCAGCTTGCATTCCTTACAACTCCACCCATGACATAAAGGGAATTTGACCAATATAATTTGTAACGTGAACTAATGCCTTCACGTTGCTTATTTAAATTCAAAATGAAGCCACTAATTCATTTCGCATATATACTCATGGAAACGAATAATTGGAACACATGAAACACACAAGTGTTCCTTTATATATTTCCAGAATTTCACCCACAGTGCAATACATACCTTGAGAAAAAACCTGGAAAAGAATAAAGGAACACTTGTACTTTCATGTGTTCCCTTATTTGTTTCCATGGGTATATATAACAAACAAGAAATGAGACACATTACTTATTTATGGATAACACCCTCTTTAATGTACGGTCACATTGACGTTCCAATACAGATCGTAACACCGCTGTTACAAACCATTCACATCAAGAGACTCCAACCGGCCATAAGCAGAGACCAAGGATATCGCACACCCACTGTCATAGCCACTGCCTGTCATCAACTCATCACTAAGCAAGCTTAATCCTAATATCCTTGTGTCGATTGACAGACACTGAACTAGAAGGTTAGGGTAACACCTACGGGTATAATGGAACAGTCCACTGTCTAGTGAGTAGAGTAGGGTGAGCCTGAAACAGGTTCGTTACTGTTATTTGTTGTGATTAAATGATAAGCTATCTTCTCTTCTCAAAATTGTTTTACTATCATTTACTATCGAATATAAATACAGGTTTATCACTGAGAGGTGTGATTGTGTTTATTGATTGAACCATATTTTATTCATTCAAGAAACGGATCGGGTACAAGTGATAATTACACAATTCATCTTACAACAATGTACACAAGTGATAGACATTGGCTCATATATACTCGTGCCAATAATGGTTGTCACCCACTTCAATTTTTTAATTGGAGAGGGGTGGGGGTGGGGTGTGGGTGTGGGGGTTGGGGTGGGGAGGGGGTGACAACCATTATTGGCATGAGTATATATGTACAAGTTAACTGAAAAAACGTTTGTGTGAGAGATATAGATATGTACATATTTGAAAACATACTGCTTTCAGTAATTGAGAGGCCTGCATTGCCATCTAACATAATATTATTGTTCTATTTTTAGCAATATTTTCTAAAGATTTTAACAGTTTATGTCTAAATAGTAGATTATGGACGGTTACTGCTGATGGAATATAAGATGATGTTGGGTACTCACTGTTTCATAATACAGTGAACTGGAAGATGCATATCTTGTAAGACCAATATCTATGCGAGCTGCTTCAAGTTGGAGTTGTTCTTATTTAAACATCCATCCCATACCTCACATGCGTACTCAAAAAGTGGCCTTATAAATACAGTATATATTTTTGCCAATGTTGTTCTATTTAGTAGTAACTTTAATTTCCGAAATGCTCCAATCATTCCAGATGTCTTTTTGACAATGTTTTCAATTTGATGGTGCCAACTCCAGTTAGACGAGAAGGTTTACAAGCAGGGTTGAAGGGGGTGGAAAGCATTACTTTTCTAACGAATACTGATCATTAATTGAGAAATACCATCTGTATGAACTTCCTACTTTTAACTGAGACTTTGAGGTGTTCGAGTGGACGGATATAGAATTTGAAATTAAAGAATAAACGCATTAAACATCTCACTGTGTGTGCACTTCATTTTCACCCGTTTTCTCGAGAGTTTCAATTGTCATCAAATAAACCTTCAGGACAAAGAGTGGCGGGGGGGGGAGCAAGATTGGATGAACATTTTTATTAGGCCATAGTCCGTGAGGTTTTAAACGTGTATTATTACTTAACAATTTGGACAGAGTGATATATTTACAAAATGACCCAATGCAAATTCACTAGCTAGTCGGGCTAGATGAAATGAAAATTTCAAATGCAGACAGTACGTGCTTGCTTGGTAGTTAAGGCTCCATGTCCTAAATTGGTTAAATTAGAAATCGGGATAAAGGACAGGAACAAGAGCATATTTTGACAAGCGTAAGGTGGTCTGTAACCTCGCTCATCGTCATGAGAAATCAATTTCAATGAAAGCACAACATGCGCGCGACTGCGAATAGAATAAGTTACTTTATATAACCAACACACAGCTAGTGTTATTTGCATCCTAACTAAGGCTGTCAGGAGCTCTTGAGGAACCAATCAAATAACAGTATTCCCTCTCTCCTCGCACCTGCGATCGACGGAAACTATACGTAAAGATGTCGGTGCAGTCTTTAGTAAGTAAGAAGAAACGAAGTTTCATCGGGTTGCCGGCTCCACTTGGCTACGTACCAGGTCTTGGAAGAGGGTAATAAGCTGTTGTACTTCTGACTTGCTTTCTGTTGTAATGTCAGTTGTATAAAACATATATTCTTTGTATGAATAGTTATTGTCCGGTAATCGATCATGTTATTAGAGAGAAAAATCGTAAGCATTCGTCACTTCAGTGTACATGTCGTGTTTTGTTAATCTTTTACCTTGTTATGTAATAAATAAAAACAGAATCAAGATTGTTTTTCATCCTTTAAACCCTTGTAAACCACTGTTAAGATGTAGATTTATCTTTCTTGTTAAGTCAATTGTTTATGTATTTATTATGTGAAAATGTTGAATCGTAATAATGCGTCATTGTCACCAAAGCATCTTTATCTTCCAGAGCAACAGGATTTACAACTCGATCTGATATTGGTCCAGCCAGAGATGCAGATGATATTCCGTATGTATTAAGTCAAGATTTGTGTGCACATGGTATAGCAATGACGACTTGTACAGGTGTATGAGTTTCCATCAACACGTTGAAGATGAATGCCAATATATTCCACTTCAAGTACTTCATGTAGATTCTACCCAATCATTTTTAGAACCCTGAATTCAGACTGGTCTGACGGAAATGTTGAATCTAGCTTAGCATGGTCAGGGTTCGCACAGATTTGAAAAGTTCTTGAATTTAACTACCATATTGTTTGCACTATTACACGCTCCTGAATATTACCCGCACCCCAGTATTGGAGTTAATCTCCACTACACAGTCCACACATAACCCGCACCTTACTATTACCCGCAACCTTTTGTGCGATTCAGTGTAAAACTAAGACCCGGTTCCTGGTTCCTTACGTCATAAAAAAAAAGAAACCAGGCTCTGTCCGAAAATCGGACGTTTGCGCTGCATTCTGAAAGATCATCGTTAATGCTGGAAGCGGCAATGTCGAATCCGAAAATGGAAATTGTCTGTGATACCCATACCGGGTGAAAAAAGTTTTTCCTGATCATTGCTTTAAAATGGGAACATGTGTGTTAAATCGTGCATGGTGAACGAAATACAGAAGGGTGCGTAGGTGCATAGAAAGGAACAAGGCATCATGTTATTGTTGTCGGAAAGAAATTGATATTGGGACTATGGGGAAAAGTGACAACCACATTAGAAACTGTGGAACTATCAGATAATCAGAGTCAATTTGCAAGCTATTGGTTTTGTGAAATAAGAAAACAAATCTCAGGGAAATGATATGAACCCAGGGAACCCAGATATGACAGAAAAGTGTGACCTTACAATTCCAACACCTCCAAAAACGACTGACCTCTACCACAACCTCTACGGGTTCGCGACGACTTGACAATTTTGTTTCAAGAAACGAAATTATGTGGACAATTCAAACTATTGTGACTCACAATTCATACAAATCAGACAGTAAGGTGGATCATTTAAAGAAAATCTAAGCTCATCAGTACTATAACAGGGTTGTAAGCTACGCAACTTATTAAAGTTAAGTGGACTAGTTGAAGTTGAGTGGAATAGGGCTTTTTAAAATTAATGATGTGATTGTTGTAAACAGTTGTTGTTTAGGTTAAGTGTTAAATTGCTTTTTATTTTTGACAGTCAAGTTTGTACTGTTTGAACTGTTGACCTGTTATGCGTGCTATGTACTAGTGATCTGAAAACCTTTGTTCTTTTAACTTTAGCAGTCAGGTGTCTACCGTGATTGATGTTTTCACATATGAAGTTTTGTGTAATATTTTTGGTACAATTTGAAAGAAAGCATTGCTTGAAAACACCTCATATGTCTATGAAAAGTCCTTGAAAAGCACTTGAATCTCATGTGCTCTATTCTGTATGAACCTTGATGATTACACTCTAATCTTGCTAATAAGTGCATATTGCAAAGGAAAAGATTTATTCACAAGCACTTCTGTGAAAACCCTGTCCATTAGACCATTTAGGATACTGATCTTACTTCTTTATTGATGTTAAATATGGAGTAAAAGTTTCTACAGTAGTAACATGTACAGCAATATATTAATAAAGGCAGACAAATTAACATTCAACACGTAACAAATGTATTGTAAAATTGAACATCATCAATGCAGCTTGACTTTTGTCACTTCTCTCATCACATGCTGTGACATCTTGTCCAATGCATCACGATGAGACTGAACATCTGTAGAATTATAGGGTAGCCTAATCATATTCAAAAACTTCTTTTTGTGGATGGGGGCGTGGGTAGCTCGTCGCCACACCGAAGACCCGGGTTCGAATCCCCACATGGGCACAATGTGTGAAGCCCATTTCTGGTGTCCCCCGCCGTGATGTTGCTGGAATATTGCTAAAAGCGGCGTAAAACCAAACTCAGTCACTCAGTCAATGTGGATGCCAGTTTGAATACTGGTAGTGCATAATGGATGTCTTCCTGTGTGATTTTGGGTGGTCAGGCTCGCTGACTTGGTTGACAAATGTCATCAGTTCCCAATTGCGCAGATCGATGTTCATGCTGTTGATCACTGGATTGTCTGGTCAAGACTATTATTTACAGACTGCCATATAGCTGGAATATTGCTGAATGCGGCGTAAAACTAAACTCACTCACTGTGTGATTTTGTTGTGTCTCATAGAAGTTATTTAAGTATGACAGTATGACTTTTGCTTGGGTACATCAAATGAACGCATGTGCAGATTAAAAGAGATCCTCACTGATTACATCACTAAATGCGCCCTTTCATCCTGCAGAAAATTATCTTCACCATGTTGAACAAATGACACATCACTCATCTGTTCCAATATTCTATTTTATCATTGTGTCATGAAAATTGATGTAAACCTATCTCTTTTTATTGTAGAGGTTTAAACCTTTGATTCAATGTTTTCAAATTATAAACCTGAAGTCAAATCTATATTCAAACCTGTGATGTATTAATATAACACAATAGATTTATCTTCTAATTGACTGTTTATTATGAAATGGTTAGTCAAACAACAGGGTTTGGTAAACTGGACAAGTTCTATCATGGCCAGTGAACGTGTAAATATGAAACACTGTCAGCTGCTCAGCTGGCTACTGGAAAATATGAAGGCCTGAAGCCCTGTTATTTGGTTTCAACATATTTAAAAGAATGAACTGGCAGAATATTGGCTGTATTAAAATGTGAAAACATATTTCAATGTTGTTTCCTGTAGAAGCATATATGTATATATATATATATATACCAGAACAACTATGTCATCAAACATTTTCATCACATGGTAAAGTTTCAGTCTTTCATGTGCCCTTCTAAAGGATTCTTCATGTATAATTATGTTTTCAGTGAGGATCGGCATGCTCCTCCTGTAAAAAAGTCTAAGAAAGACCAGGAAGAAGATGAAGAAGAAGATTTGAACGATGCCAACTTTGATGAGGTCAGTCAGCATAGTCTCAGTTGTAAATGTTACAATGAACATGAGGATTCAAAGAGTCTTCTTGAGAGTATATTATGCTGATGATCAGAGATTGACATTATCAAACCACTATTCCATGGTGACAATCCATTAGGTTGTACCTCCATACAGCTCAGTTGACTAACTCATTCACCTGATCAGAACCACCATTACTTTCCAGTTTGCTGGCTATGGAGGTAGCCTGTGCAGTAAAGACCCTTACGACAAAGATGACGAGGAGGCAGATGCCATATATGATGCTGTTGACAAACGGATGGATGAAAAGAGAAGGGAGAGGAGAGAGGAAAAGCTTCGGGAAGAGCTGGAGAAATTCCGTCAAGAAAGACCCAAAATTCAACAACAGTTCTCTGATCTGAAGGTGATACAGTTTTGTTGGTCTCATTGGGTTTGGTGAGTGGCCATTCTTGTGCCACATGGTATCACTTGGTAACATTTGTTGTTTTTCAGACTCATTAAGAATAGCTGCAATATTGCTGGGACAACATAGAGGACTTGAAGAATAAACAATGAGCTGCGAGGAATTATGAATTATTTCTCCACAGTGACAGAATGATTGTGACATTGTTAGTCCCATGTCATTTGTGCAAGTATTGGAAGGTTATTACACACGGTCATTCCAATGTAATGTAATGTTTACCTCTGTCAATCCATATACATTCTGGTCAATGCATCAAGTATTGCTTGACTCTTGCAGTAATACATTCTCTTCCCACAGAGGTGACTTGTCATATCTTCCTACGAAACTCTGTTCTAATACAGCCCTTTCATGGTGCGAGTGTTCAGGATTCGTGATTGGTTGCAATCAGATTTAGTTGTGCAATCAGCAACATTTCAAAAGTGATCCTTCGCAAGGCCTCGGTAATATCCGTAAGCTTCGGGAAAACTAGAACCTCTTCCCCTGCGCGATGCGCAAACGTTTCTTCTAGACAGAATTCAGTCAGGTAATGCCGGATCTCGAGGACAACGGACAAGCTTGCCATTAAATGTCTTGTGTGTCACATCAACACAAATCCCCGGCAGAGAAGTTGGATATTTGTGGCCCCATTTTCACTTGCATTAGTCAAGTTGGATCTAAGTCGATGTATCACATGTTCTGATTTGATAAAAAGAAGGGAGATAATTCGTGTTGCGATTTTTTGCCGCTAGGTGATTTTACGAGAACCGGGAAATATGGCCATATTAGAACAGAGGTTCGTAGGAAGATATGACAAGTAACCTCTGTGGGAAGAGAATGGCAGTAATATGACAAAGGACATTAGTCATAGGACATTTAAGCATCTATAGCAGTTTAAGTTCTATAGCAGCTGTCCGTGGCAAAGACAGCCACTCTACTACAATGATAGAAATGGTGGTTTGTGGGTTCCTACTTTGTATTATTGTACTATTCATCAACTTGTGTTTTCAGTTTCTGATAATTTTGGTTATGAAGTCAGTAAATCGATTTCAGTGCTGTGTTAGGAAGCAATAAGGGACTATTGTTACGAACATGTGCCCCAAGTTTGTGCTTGTATCTTACAGCGAGATCTTGCTGATGTGACTGTTGATGATTGGAACAACCTGCCAGAAGTGGGCGATGCTCGGACCAAGAGGCAGAGGAACCCACGAACAGAGAAGTAAGTTCTTCACAGTCTTATAATATATGGAGAGGATTAGAAAAATGTTCTTCACAAAATGTAACACACATTGGCAGGATGAGAAGGGGAATGATTTGACAAGGTACAAAAACTACCTATGTTCAGGTTTAAGAAACACCACCTTTGATTATTTTTAATGTTATTGTGTGATTTTGTTAAAATATTAAATCCATAATGTCAGTCATAAAGGATTGAAGGCTACTTGTGACTAGCATTGATGGCATGACCGTTTTACTGATGACATGGTTGTGTTGCGTTAATGGCATGGCATTGATTTACTTATTACATGGCTGTCTTGCGCTGATGTTCTGGTTGTGTTGCTGACACGGCAGTGTTGTTGCTGACACGGCAGTGTTGTATTTATAATGTGTCACGGGTTACTGATGACATGACGATGTTGTGTTGATGCCATGACATGGGTTATTGATGACATGACAATGTTGTGTCGATGCCATGGCATGGGTTATTGATGACATGACGATGGTATGTCGATGCAATGGCATGGGTCACTGATGACATGACAATGTTGTGTTGATGCCATGACATGGGTTATTGATGACATGATGATGTTGTGTTGATGCGATGACATGGGTTATTGATGACATGATGTTGTGTCGATGCCATGACACGGGTTACTGATGACATGGCAATGTCGATGAATGCGATGTCACTGATGGCATGACATCATATTGATGACATGATGATGTTGTGTTGATGCCATGACATGGGTTATTGATGATATGACAATGTTGTGTAAAATGCGATGCAGTGGCATGGGTTACTGATGACAATAGCGATACGGGTGTCGATGCAATGGCATGGGTTGACATGAGCAATGTTGTGTTGATGCCATGACATGGGTTATTGATGACATGACAATGTTGTGTCGATGCAATGACATGGGTTATTGATGACATGACAATGTTGTGTTGATGCCATGGCATGGGTTATTGATGACATGACGATGGTATGTCGATGCATGGCATGGGGTAGTGATGACATTACGATGTTGATGCATTCTGTGTTGATGCCATGACCGGGTGATCGAATGGGTTTACTGATGACATGGGTACAATGACCCGGTTGAAGCCCATTTCTGGTGTCCCCTGCCGTGATATTGCTGGAATATTGCTACAAGCGGCGTAAAACCAAACTCAGTCAGTCAGTCAGTTATGTCGATGCAATGGCATGGGTTACTGATGACATGACGATGTTGTGTCGATGCAATGGCATGGGTCATTGATGACATGATGTTGTGTCGATGCCATGACATGGGTTACTGATGATATGACAATGTTGTGTCGATGCACCGGCATGGGTTACTGATGACATAGCGATGTTGTGTCGATGCAATGACATGGGTTATTGATGACATGACAATGTTGTGTTGATGCCATGGCATGGGTTATTGATGACATGACGATGTTATGTCGATGCAGGGGGATGGGGTAGTCTAGTGGTTAAAGCGTTGGCTCTTCACGCCGAAGACCCGGGTTCGAATCCCCACATGGGTACAATGAGTGAAGCCCATTTCTGGTGTCCCCTGCCGTGATATTGCTGGAATATTGCTACAAGCGGCGTAAAACCAAACAGTCAGTCAGTCAGTTATGTCGATGCAATGGCATGGGTTACTGATGACATGACGATGTTGTGTTGATGCAATGGCATGGGTTACTGATGACATGACGATGTTGTGTTGTTGCCATGACATTGGTTACTGATGACATGACGATGTTGTGTTGTTGCCATGACATGGGTTACTGATGACATGGCGATGTTATGTTGTTGTCATGACATGGGTTACTGATGACATGACGATGTTGAGTTGTTGCCATAACATGGGTTACTGATGACTTGACGATGTTGTGTTGTTGCCATGACATGGGTTACTGATGACATGACGATGTTGTGTTGTTGCCATGACATGGGTTACTGATGACATGGCGATGTTGTGTTGTTGCCATGACATGGGTTACTGATGACATGACGATGTTGTGTTGTTGCCATGACATGGGTTACTGATGACTTGACGATGTTGTGTTGTTGCCATGACATGGGTTACTGATGACATGAAGATGTTGTGTTGTTGCAATTGCCATGACATGGGTTACTGATGACATGTCAATGTTGCAGGTACACACCTGTCCCAGACAGTATTCTGGCCCGGGCGGCAGCCTCTACAGGGATGAATAGTGCTCTCTCAGAGAAAGAACAGGTGATTACAAGCGATATACGTCCATGGAGCAATTAAATTCTTTCTCATATCTGTTTAATGATGAATCCAACAAAGCCGGTCCAAAGATTTAAGTGGGGGTCTTTAGATTAAATAAGTAAAACAAAAGTCTCAAGAAAACTCCCATTTTTGAACACCGACTTCAGAGATAATTTCATAAAGGTATACCATGTCTGTTTCTGTAACTGAATTCAATTTGTTGAATACAGAGTCATTTGGGAGACTTATGTTTTTTGGTGTACATGAAATTGAGGTATTACTGTGACATATTATAAACAGACTTCGAGTGAGTAAAGATACTGATCGTGTTTGTTTTAGCAATATGGAGGCCTAGCCACACCGGCTGGCTTCTCCACTCCCAGCGGAGACATCGACATGAAGAAGATTGGTCAGGCCAGGAACACACTGATGGGCATCAAGCTCACACAGGTATGTTATAGTGAGTTCTTAATGATAAGGGGCATCGTGTCCTTTCTTGGCTTTCTGAAACACATTGAAAAGGAAAGGTACATTGCTCAGTAAGTAAATTGTGTGTGAGTTCGAGTTATTTCATTGGCTGATCAAGCTACCCAGACCCAGAAATGATTATCCACACCCACTTACAGGGTGTATCTAGCTCCACACCCACTTACAGGGTGTATCTAGCATGTTGTATTTGGGATTACACTTTCTTAGTAAAGTACAGATTCTAGTACTGAGGGGGTTAGGCAGCTGACATTGTGTGCTGGGCGATTAGGTGCCTGACTCTCAGGGTGTGGGTTCGAATCCCGGATGGGACATGTTGGCTATCTATCCAAGTTAGTAGTGATACACTGCTGTATGGTTTGTTTTTTTCTGACAGGTATCAGACTCTGTAGCAGGCCAGACAGTTGTTGATCCCAAAGGCTACCTGACTGACCTGCAGTCTATGTTACCTTCACATGGAGGAGACATCAAGTACGTCCACTCACTCTGTTACTGGAGTACACATGTGGCAGACTCTCCACCTGGTATACATACCTGGCAGACACACTCACAGGCATACCTGGCAGACACACTCACAGACACACACCTGCCAGACACACTCACAGACACACACCTGGCAGACACACTGACACACCTGGCAGACACACTCGCACTCACATACATATCTGGCAGACACACTGACACCTGGCAGACACACTCACAGACACACACCTGGCAGACATCCAGCAGACACAGACACCTGGCAGACACACTGACTCACCTGGCAGACATCCGGCAGACACACCTGGCAGATACACACCTGGCAGACACACTCACAGACACACACCTGGCAGACACACTGACTCACCTGGCAGACACCCTGACAGACATCCGGCAGACACACAGACACACCTGGCAGACACACAGACACACCTGGCAGACACAGACACCTGGCAGACACGCTGGCAGACACGCGGCAGACACACTGACTCACCTGGCAGACACACTCACACTCATAGACATATCTGGCAGACACACTCACAAGCACACCTGGCAGACACACTCACAGATATCTGGCAGACACTCAGACACCTGGCAGACACACTGACAGACGCTCTTGTCCTACACACCGTACCTGTCACACCTACATACATATCTTTACTGAATTGTTTTGCAGACTCCTAGAATAGGAAACACTGATGCCTCAATCACTGACAAGCCTTAATATATCCATGAAAATCCGGGTTGTCTCCAGTTTTTCATAAGGCTTGCTGTCATTGCCATCCCAACACAATAGATTGATGTTCATGTAGCCAGTTACCTTCTTGTCTGCTTCAGACTCGATTATTTACAGATTGCTGGCATACAGCTGGGAAACCACTAAGTCAGGTGATAATCACAAGCAATCAAGCAGTCAATATGACATACTAGTATCCACACGAGAATCTAACAATGCCAACATCATGTAGAATTAAGCCATGTTTTCAATGCTTCAGCGATGTGAAGAAAGCCCGACTGCTGCTGAAGTCAGTGAGGGAGACCAACCCCAAACACCCCCCAGGTGAGGATGACTGTGTACTGTCTGTTCTGCACCATCTTTCAGCATCTCTTAAATATTAAAAAAATTGTCAGCGTTTTTATTCTGAATCTTATACATGCTGAGGGATTTTACCATTGTGTGTTAGTTGGAGTGGGGTCAAATGAGCATTGATGAGACTGCCAACATGTCTGTTTCAGCGTGGATCGCGTCTGCTCGTCTGGAGGAGGTGACAGGCAAGGTGCAGGCAGCCAGGAACCTCATCATGAAGGGATGTGAAGAGTGTCCAAAGAGTGAGGATGCCTGGCTAGAGGCTGCAAGACTCATGGTAACATAGCTTTCTGTGCATTATAATAGTTTCATCCAACGATAATTGTTATTTTCTTATATTCAGTTTTCCATGGAATTAAATTTCATATTAAATGTGGCAAAGAATATTTGAAAGTCTGAAGTAATGTGTTTGTGTACCTGTCAGCCCGGGGACCAGGCCAAGGCCGTGGTGGCGCAGGCTGTCCGGCATCTCCCCAGCTCAGTCAGGGTGTGGATCAAAGCTGCAGACTTGGAGCTGGAGCTGAAGGCAAGGAAGAGAGTGTTCAGAAAGGGTAAGGCCAATATCCAGAACATTATTGCAAATGGGTAACAGGCATGACAAGGAAATTGCATCAATTCATGAACCTAGTAGAATTGTAGGATCCGAGTATTCCCTGGAGTAGAATAACATGTAGGATCCAAGTATTAACTTGGATCCTTCTTGTTTATCTACTCCAGTGAATACTTGGATCCTACCTGTTATTCTACTCCAGGGAATACTTGGACCCTACATGTTATTCTACTCCAGGGAACACTTGGATCCTACATGTTATTTTACTCCAGCAGGGAATACTTGGATCCTACCTGTTATTCTACTCCAGGGAATACTTGGATCCTACATGTTATTCTACTCCAGGGAATACTTGGATCCTACATGTTATTCTACTCCAGGGAGTACTTAGATCCTTATTGTTTATCTACTCCAGGGAACACTTGGATCCTACATGTTATTCTACTCTAGGGAATACTTGGATCCTACATGTTATTCTACTCCAGCAGGGAACACTTGGATCCTACATGTTATTCTACTCCAGGGAATACTTGGATCCTACATGTTATTTTACTCCAGCAGGGAACACTTGGATCCTACCTGTTATTCTACCCAGGAATACTTGATCCTACATGTTATTCTACTCCAAGGAACACTTGGGATCCTACATGTTATTTCTACTCCAGGAATACTTGGATCCCACATGTTATTCTACTCCAGGGAATACTTTGATCCTACATGTTATTCTACTCATGGAACACTTGATCCTACATGTTATTCTACTCAGGAATACTTGGATCCTACCTGTTATTCTACTCAAGCAGGGAATACTTGATCCTACATGTTATTCTCTACTCCAGGAACACTTGGATCCTACATGTTATTCTTTCAGAGGGAATACTTGATCCTACATGTTATTCTACTCCAGGAATACTTAGATCCTTTGTTTCTGTCTCAGGGAATACTTTGGATCCCACATGCTATTCTACTCCATCTATACTTTGATCCTCCATGTTATTCCTCACTCAAGAGAATACTTGGATCCTACATGCTATTATTCTACTCCAGGGAATACTTGGATCCTACATGTTAGTTAACTCCAGAGAATACTTGAATCCTACATGTTAGTTTACTCCAGGGAATACTTGAATAACATGTAGGATCCAAGTATTCCCTGGAATAAAATAACATGTAGGATACAAGTATTCCCTGGAGTAGAATAACATGAAGGATCCAAGTATTCCCTGGAGTAGAATAACATGAAGGATCCAAGTATTCCCTGGAGTAGAATAACATGAAGGATCTAAGTATTCCCTGGAGTGGAATAGCATGTAGGATCCAAGTATTCCCTGGAGTAGAATAACATGAAGGATCTAAGTATTCCCTGGAGTAGAATAGCATGTAGGATCCAAGTATTCCCTGGAGTAGAATAACATGTAGGATCCAAGTATTCCCTGTATTCCCTGGAGTAGAATAACATGAAGGATCTAAGTATTCCCTGGAGTAGGATCCAAGTATTCTCTGGAGTAGAATAACATGTAGGATCCAAGTACTCCTTGGAGTGGAATAACATGTAGGATCCAAGTATTCCATGGAGTAGAATAACATGTAGGATCCAAGTATTCCTTGGAGTGGAATAACATGTTGGTTCCAAGTAGTGTGGGATTTGTAAAGCAAGGTGACAGCATAAGAGGTGGCACAGTAGTTTGTTGCATGAACAGCAATGAGACTGTGACTTAGTACCAACATGTCATAGTAACCCAGCATTGTCAACCATTCACTTGATGTCAGTCATAGGATTCTCTCACTGGTGTGTATTATTAAAATCTCTATAACTTGATTATTTACAGATTCATGTTGTTGGAATTCTGCTCAGTCTGGATGCAAACAACAAAAACACACTCTTTCACATTTTGTATTGAACATGATTTTCTGGGCCAGAAATATAGCAACAGTGTTTCCCAGTTTTCAAGTTTTGCATGTTTCGCAGCCCTAGAGCACATCCCCAACTCGGTGCGTCTGTGGAAGCTGGCGGTGGAGCAGGAAGGCGAGGAGGATGCCAGGATCATGTTGAGTCGAGCCGTGGAGTGCTGCCCAACCAGTGTCGAGGTACTGTAGTCTCAAATTTATGGACAGGGTCATTATGTGTTTAGGGAACCGCCCTAAAATTTATGGCTAGTGGTGGGGTGATGATGATTTTAAGCATATTTTGGGGATTTTATGAATTACGACCCCCTAACTTCATGGGAACAAAACGTGTCCCCCTTAACAGGGAAGATTGGGGTGGTGGGAAGTAGCCAGGTGGTTAAAGCATTCGCTCGCCTCACTCACTCACTCACTCACTCACTCACTCAGGGTAGCACAGTTGTTGAACTAGACACTCATCACAATGGCCAATGTATTGAGTCCGCAATCAGGATAACAACTCATATTACTCCAATATGTAAGAAGGTCAAAGTACGTTTTTTTCACTATGGTATGTCATGGATGGAAAAACATTGGTGTTAATAATTGAATTACAGTTTGTGAGAATTTCTCACATATATCTTAAACTGTGTTTTATGATCAGTGTTTATGAAAGTGTGAGATTCTCTCTGATTATAACACTTGGTCATTGTTGATTTGTCAATATCAGGCTGTACAATAGGGATTTACCAAGTTAGTCTTCTTCAACATTAATATGATCGACTGTTGTATGACCTTGTACAAATCACTAACACACAACTTTCTCTCATGGCTCATGTAACATTGTCACAGCTATGGCTGGCATTGGCAAGACTGGAGACGTATGAGAACGCCCGAAAGGTGTTAAACAAGGCTCGCGAGAACATCCCGACAGACCGGCAGATCTGGGTTACAGCTGCCAAGCTTGAAGAAGCCCATGGGAACGACCACATGGTGGAGAAGATTGTGGAGAGAGGTGAGCTGTTTCCCACTGTTATATAAAATGTTACAGTGCTGTGATATCCACATGGTGGCGACAGGTGTCACTGTAGCCAGTAACTGGGTGTGAGTCTATATTGGTCACTGCAGTGATATTGTTATGTGGGACCAGGGTAGATATGAGACTTTATTACCCACGAGGTCAACGTATGGGTAGTTGCATACTAATCTCGTACGTCACACGAGTGTCGTATCGCGTTGACCTGTGTCGTAACGACTTGACCTGAGATTCTAACGATTTGATTGGATAACCGATGACCTCTCAATTAGGTCATATTCTGACGTAACTATTTTTTCATTCATAACAAACACGTGAATTCATTCATTCTACAACTTAAATGCATTGTGGGAATGTAAACATTGCGAACGTTGCCGTGTCGCTGTTTAATTGTGAGTCAAACTGAGACATTATATCCGTCGAAAAACGTAAACGCAATGTTTCCACCAGTGATGTTAGCCCAATGAAGCAACTGCAAACCAAGAAACGGGGTGCTACGGAGTAGTTTACTGTAGGAGGCTGTATGAGGCGATGACAACTGACATGCATCGTGACGTCGGTTACCAAGGCAGTGACGTCATTACATTGTGACGTCATGCAAATATTGTATTGCTTTCGCTCAGTCAGATACCATAGGAAGGACACTCGTTTCGTATAATTTGTATGTTATGAGACCTCGTGTAGTATTCTCTATATATGACCACATATCCTATTACTGAAACTGGTCGTGGAGTTCTCAGGGGGCGGTGGGGTAGTGCTTAAAGCGTTCGTTCGTCACGCTGAAGACCCGGGTTCGATTCCCCACATGGGCACAATGTGTGAAGCCCATTTCTGGTGTCCCCCGCCGTGATATTGCTGGAATATTGCTAAAAGCGGAGTAAAACTGAACTCACTCACTCACTCACTCACTCACTCACTGAGTTCTCAGTTTTGTTGTGGTTGGTTGAGATAGATCCAACACACATACTTCAATGATGCTGTCTTCATCTGAAAATGCTTTGTCTTTCCTCCGCAGCTCTCAACTCACTTCGCTCCAACATGGTGGAGATCAACAGGGAGCACTGGCTGAAGGATGCGGAGGACTGCGAGAAGAGCGGCAGCATCAACACCTGCCAGGCCATCGTGTGAGTCTCCATCATCATCACCATCACGGCACTGTCAATACTCCACATTTGTTTGAGAGGCATTTTAGAAGTTATAAAGATGAAGGAAAACGAACTTATGTGGACTTCTATAGTCATCTAGTCAACTAGTCAACTGACTATCCATAGAACTTGGTTATCCTTTCCTTAATACTTCACATGTTTGTAACGCTGCATTTCAGCTTCATACATGAATAGACCCGTGAGGGTCTGGCTTAGAGTGAATCTTCAGTAAGCCATGCTTGTCGTAAGAGGCGACTAACGGGATCGGGTGGTCAGGCCTGCTGGCATGGTTGACACATGTCATCAGTTCCCAATTGAGCAGATCGATGCTCATACTGTTGATCACTGGATTGTCTGGTCCAGACTCGATTATTTACAGTCCGCTGCCATATAACTGGAATATTGCAGATTGCGGCGTAAAGCTGAACTCACTCACTCATACATGAATACATATGGCATAAATGTAGTGCAGTGGACACGGTCGGTATTAAGTCAAACAATTCCATGAGACATGTATAGTGCATGGAAATCAAATGAGCCCTTCTGTGTTTAGTGTGGTACCAACCGTTGCTTTATATTGAAGCAATGTGGAGAGAAGATGATATGAGGCTTAAGCACATAGGGCATGAGATATATTGCTCTTAGGGTAGAGTTCTCGTTGGTCAGAGTACTACCTGGATTTTGTGCCACTAGAACTAGGTTGTAACTTGTTGATTAAAACTAGTGACTACATCACAAAGAGGACATATGCTTGAGAGATGATGGGGGAATACATGCATGGAGTATTGAACCCCATACATTGTAGGACCTAACTGGAGTATGCATCTCATGGCAACAGGGTATGGCCTGGTTGATACTGTTAGTGATTCTATTAATTAGGTTCATTTTGGAGATAACCCTACACTGTTTCTCTAATGTAATTTGGAACCCAGCTTCTATGGCCTTAAGTTTCATCTCTGAAAGGGGCATGGGGGTAGCCTAGTGCTTTCAGTGTTTGCTCAACACACCAAAGACACATGTTCGATTCACATGGGTATAAAGTGTGAAGTCGATTTCTGGTCTCCCTCGCCATAATAATTCTAGAATATTGCCACATGCAGTGAAAAAAAACCCAGCATATTTTTTATTGTTGCCATGGTAACTGTGTTGCAGGCGGGCTGTGATTAGTGTTGGTATTGAGGAGGAAGACCGGAAGCACACCTGGATGGAGGATGCAGATGCCGTAAGTCTACCTGTGCTGTATTGTTCTTGCAGAATTCCATCGTAGATCCATGATCATTTTGGATGTTATAATTACTGCAACTAATACCTGACTGTGTTATTGATGAAGCTAGTTATGGCATTGTGATGACTGAGATGACCTTGGTGTTTCTCCAACAGTGTGCAGCTCATGGAGCCTACGAGTGTGCCCGAGCCATCTACGCCTATGCCCTGACAGTGTTCCCCAGCAAGAAGAGCATCTGGCTGAGTGCTGCGTACTTCGAGAAGAACCATGGAACCAGGTAGGCAAGAGCCCATCTAAACGCTCAGAATTCTAAGAATTCTTAACTTTGATCGTGAGCCAATGTGAAGAATGGCTTGAAGTTCGTAGGGCTACCTACGCTTAGAATAGCTAGCCAGTTCAATACAGCTGTGTCAGTAGAGTTGGACACAGAAAGTGGGACCCAGACAGATAAGTGGACCGACTGGGATGTTGAGTTAGTTTGAACCACAAGGCTTTTTGAGTGTCCTCACACCTTGAATAACTTGAATTACTGCTGAACAGTCAGCCACTGGTTTTGCCTTGCTCCGACAGAGTATCTGCAGGTAGCCGTGATAAAACTTGAATAAGGCTGACTGTGGTGTGACATATTCATCCTTTCTCTGTCACTGATATACTCTGTACCTGCCCTGTTGATGTACATGCTGTATCTTGTGTTTCCAGGGAGTCGCTGGAGGCACTGCTACAGAGAGCTGTGGCCCACTGCCCTAAAGCTGAAGTGCTTTGGCTCATGGGAGCCAAATCCAAGTGGATGGCGGTAAGTTTATATCTCAGTTTGTGCATGAAGAACAGGCATGTCAGCCACTGACAACCACTGTCAACCACCAACAAATACAACCAATGACTACCATCAACAAATACAACCAATGACTACCATCAACAAATACAACCAATGACAACCACCAACAAATACAACCACTGTCACCCACCAACAAATACAACCAATGACAACCATCAACAAATACAACCAATAACTTCCATCAACAAATACAACCACTGTCACCCACCAACAAATACAACCAATGACAACCATCAACAAATACAACCAATGACTACCATCAACAAATACAACCACTGTCATCCATCAACAAATACAACCAATTACAACCATCAACAAATACAACCAATGACAACCGCCAACAAATACAACCAATGACAACCACCAACAAATACAACCAATGACTACCATCAACAAATACAACCAATGACTACCATCAACAAATACAACCAATGACTACCATCAACAAATACAACCAATGACAACCATCAACAAATACAACCACTGTCATCCATCAACAAATACAAACCAATTACAACCATCAACAAATACAACCAATGACAACCGCCAACAAATACAACCAATGACAACCATCAATAAATACAACCACTGACTACCACCAACAAATACAACCACTGTCAACCACCAACAAATACAGACCGCCTCCGTGGTGTAGTGGTTAGAGTGTCCGCCTGGAGAGCGGAAGATCGCGGGTTCAATCCCAGACCATGTCATACCAAAAGACGTTAAAATATGGTACTTGTTGGTCCCTGCCTGGCGCTCGGCATTAATGGGTACAACAAGGACTGGTCGGCTCGGAGTAAGTATAATGTGTCTGAGTGGGGTATTCATGCTTCACTGCGGCATGGTATCTCGATGGTCTAGCTTTATAAAACCAGCTTAAGTCTTGGCTAGTACAAGCAGCCGCATATACACATATACACACATACACGCATGCACGTCGTCATATGAGCGAAATATTCTCAAGCACGACGTTAAACCCCATTTCACCTCACCTCACCAACAAATACAACCAATGACAACCATCAACAAAAACAACCAATGACTACCACCAACAAATACAACCAATGACAACCATCAACAAATACAACCAATGACAACCATCAACAAATACAACCAATGACAACCATCAACAAATACAACCAATGACAACCGCCAACATATACTGAAAAGTGCTGACAATGAACAAGACATTCTGTCAACTACAACATGAATTTCAAAACTTTGAAATAATTTTAAAATACTGACATAAACAAACATGGGAAGAGAAATGACACAAGATTTGAACATGATAAAGAACATTTGTGTTGTACCGTACTCCATGCAAACCTGACTGTCTGTGTTGCAGAATGATGTCCCAGCAGCCCGAAGCATCCTGGCCCTGGCTTTCCAGGCCAACCCCAACAGCGAGGAGATCTGGCTCGCTGCCGTCAAGCTGGAGAGTGAGAACAATGAGTATGAGAGAGCTCGAAGACTGCTGCAAAAAGCCCGAGCTAGTGCACCCACTGCTAGGGTACGTTTCCTGTACACCCACTCTCAAGTAGATGAAACCAAAGACTGTTTACGGAGGGACTTCATCATTGTGTAACATCTATAATCCGAGAAACTGAAATTTAGATGAGCATTTGGAAACTGCAGCTAGTTTTTAGGATTCAGAAAAAACTTTCAAATGACTTACGGTTGTTGATGATGAACTCATTCATAAGTATATGGGCATGGTCAGAAAAACATAGATCTCAACTTTGAATTTGAGAACATCATAATAGCTTCTGTACAATCTAACTCTCCCATCTGCAGGTGTTCATGAAGTCTGTGAAGCTGGAGTGGTGTCTGGGGGAGATCGAGAACGCCAAGCGCCTGCTGGACGAGGCTGTGAAACACTACGCCGACTTTGCTAAGGTAAACTCATCCTCCACCTTAATGTACATGTTACAGTTTCAGTGAGTGAGTGAGTTTGGTTTACGCTACACACAGCAATATTCCAGCTATATGGTGGCAGTCTGTAAGTAATCGAGTCTGGACCAGACAGTCCAGTGATCAACAACATGAGCGTCGATCTATGCAATTGGGATACAAAAACATGTGTCAAACAAGTCAGCGAGTCTGACCACCCAATCCCGTAAGTCACATCTTATAACAAGCATGGGTTACTGAAGATCAGTTCTAACCCAGATCTTCACGGAACTGTTACAGTTCCAAGTAGTGTGAGGGGCAGTGTGGCAGCCTTCCCAGTCAACACATATATCATATGACCAGACTTTTCTCTTGTTTGTAAACCAACTCTTATTCTGAAATCTATGCTTCATCACATTTTTCAACCAATCTGTGCAGAGTTACATCCCTTGGGCATGCAGCTTCCATTGATAATAGATTCCAAGATTTGTCCTGATTACGATTCTTGGTTTGACAACACAAAGTGTTTGCACATGGGTGTCACCAGTCTGCTGGCAGTCATCTAACATTAAGCTGACATGACATATCTGATATTATGGCATTCAGTCCTCCCCACTTATACAGTCTGAACATTCAGCCGGACTTTCACACTATCAGTCTGAGCACATTAGCATTGTTTTACACTGAATATTTTTGACATTAGTTCGTAACGTGGCCAACAGTTTGTGATGTGGCCAATAGTTTGTGATGTGGCCAACAGCTTGTGATGTGGCCAATAGTTTGTCTGTTACATGGTCAGTAGTGTGTCACCTGGCCATTAGTGTGTCACCTGGTGAATAGTGTTTCACCTAGTCAGTAGTGTTTCACCTGGCCAATAGTGTTTCACCTGGCCAGTGTGTCAGTAGTGTTCACCTGGCCATTCAGTGTGTGTCACCTGGCCATTAGTGTGTCACCTGGTGAATAGTGTTTCACCTAGTCAGTAGTGTGTCACTTGGCCAATAGTGTTTCACCAGGTCAGTAGTGTGTCACCTGGCCACTAGTTTGTCACCTGGCCAATAGTGTTTTACCTGGTCAGTAGTGTTTTACCTGGTCAGTAGTGTTTCACCTGGCCAATAGTGTATCACCTGCCCAATAGTGTTTCACTTGGTCAATGGTGTGTCGCCTGGCCACTAGTGTTTCACTTGGTCAATAGTGTGTCACCTGGCCAATAGTGTTTCATCAGGTCAGTATTATGTGACCTGGCCAATAGTGTTTCACCTGTTGATGTGATGTTGATGTTGATGAACTTGTTGTTTTAACTGTTGAAATGGTTGATGAACCTGTTGTAGCTGTTGAAATGGTTGATGAACTTGTTGTAGCTGTTGAAATGGTTGATGAACTTGTTGCTGTAGCTGATATTGTTTCTGTTGTCAGCTGTGTATGATGAAGGGGCAGATTGAGGAGCACAGAGGAAACACGGAGAGTGCCCGGGAAGCCTACAATCTGGGGGTGAGTAGCAGGAGTGTAGTGGCAGGTAGACACAGGTCAGTGTGCCGGAGAGTGTAGTGGCAGGTCAGTAGTGTGTGCCGGGAAGCCTACAATCTGGGGTAGTGAGTAGCAGGAGTGTAGTGGCAGGTAGACACAGAGGAAACATAGTGGAGAGTGCCCGGAAGCCTACAACTCTAGCTGGGTGAGTAGCAGGAGTGTAGTGGCAGGTAGACACAGAGGAAACACGGAGAGTGCCCGGGAAGCCTACAATCTCGGGGTGAGTAGCAGGAGTGTAGTGGCAGGTAGACACAGAGGAAACACGGAGAGTGCCCGGGAAGCCTACAATCTCGGGGTGAGTAGCAGGAGTGTAGTGGCAGGTAGACACAGAGGAAACACTGAGAGTGCCCGGGAAGCCTACAATCTCGGGGTGAGTAGCAGGAGTGTAGTGGCAGGTAGACACAGAGGAAACACGGAGAGTGCCCGGGAAGCCTACAATCTGAGGGGTGAGTAGCAGGAGTGTAGTGGCAGGTAGACACAGAGGAAACACAGAGAGTGCGGAGAGTGCCCGGGAAGCCTACAATCTCGGGGTGAGTAGCAGGAGTGTAGTGGCAGGTCACAGACACAGAGAAACAATCTCGGGGAGAGTGCAGGGGAAGCCTACAATCTCGGGTGAGTAGCAGTGGCGGAGAGTGCCGGGGAAGCCTACAATCTCGGGGTGAGTAGCAGGAGTGTAGTGGCAGGTAGACACAGAGGAAACACAGAGAGTGCCCGGGAAGCCTACAATCTCGGGGTGAGTAGCAGGAGTGTAGTGGCAGGTAGACACAGAGGAAACACGGAGAGTGCCCGGGAAGCCTACAATCTCGGGGTGAGTAGCAGGAGAGTAGTGGCAGGTAGACACAGAGGAAACACGGAGAGTGCCCGGGAAGCCTACAATCTCGGGGTGAGTAGCAGGAGTGTAGTGGCAGGTAGACACAGAGGAAACACGGAGAGTGCCCGGGAAGCCTACAATCTCGGGGTGAGTAGCAGGAGTGTAGTGGCAGGTAGACATGTAGCTCATGCATGTGCTGACACATTGCCCTTTGGTTCAATGTATATTACAGAAAGGTTTATTGAGTAATAACTTACGGAGTATATGGTGTCAATTTAAATGGACAGATATCATTTGGGGATCCTTGTGGTAAAACGATTTGCATGTCATGCTGAAGGTTGAGGTTCGAATCTCCACATGGATACAATGCGTGAAGCCTATAGTACTTGTATTACATCACAGCCATTGAGCATAAGGATTGGGTTTAGCTCAAAACCATTCACATGAGACGTGGAAAGTCTAAAAGTGTGACAACCAAAACTGACATAACTGGCAGCCCAACCAGGGACCAACAAGTACCATATTTTAGCATCTTTTGTATAACACGGCCGGGGATTGAACCCACAACCTTCGCTGTCCAGGCAGACGCTCTAACCACTACACCACAGAGGCGGTCCCGATGAAAAATAATTTAGACTGACACTGTTTACACCTCGAGAGCAGCTTTTTGTTCTATGCAGTGTGACATTTCACATTACATGCATCCAGAATGAATGTCACAAACTATGCTGGTCTTCAGTGTCGAGCAGTTGTCTAATCAAGATATGAACGATTATGTTTGTCTTGTTCCAGCTGAAGAAATGTCCACATTCCATCCCACTGTGGTTGTTGCTGTCTCGGCTGGAGGAGAAGACAGGGCAGCTGACGAGGGCACGGTCCATCCTGGAGAAAGCCCGGCTGAAGAACCCCAAGTGCCCGGACCTCTGGTAATTCTGCAGTTCTGTTTGTCAATTTGAAATAATTACTTAATTAACTTACTTACATAATTAATTGTCACCTGGCTAATGGTTTGTCACCTGGCCAATAGTTTGTTACGTGGCCAGTAGTTTGTCTGTCACATCACCAATGGTGTGTCACCTGGCCACTAGTTTGTACCTCATGTGGCCTTCCTGTCATTCCCTGTCTGTCTGTCTGTCTGTCAGGTTGGAGGCTGTGCGTGTGGAGATCAGAGGCGGACTGAAGAACATTGGACAGACCCTGATGGCAAAAGGTGAGCATATCCTTCGTCACTACAAACATCTTCTTCTCTTACCGGCTGCAATATTGCCGATGTGACGTTAAATCTTAACTCACTCACTCTTCTCTTACCAACTACAACAACATGTTTTCCCATTAACCCCTGGTCTTCAGTAGCCATTGAATAGGCATCATCAGTAAAAGCTTTGCTCACCTGGTGTCTTCATATAGGAGTTAAGCTTCGTGACATACCTACCTTTTCAGAGCTGTGAAAACTTGTGAAGTAGGCAAATAATGTCCTAATAATGCACACATATTCTACTACAGCCCTACAGGAGTGTCCCAACTCAGGTATCCTATGGGCAGATGCTATCTTCATGGAGCCGAGGCCCCAGAGGAAGACAAAGTCTGTGGATGCACTCCGCAAGTGTGAACACGACCCCCATGTTCTTCTAGCTGGAGGGCTTCCAGGTCAAAGTAAGTGATAGCTCTAAGTAAAACAGCTGGAGGGGCTTCCAGGTCAAAGTAAGTGATAGCTCTCGTAAACAGCTGGAGGGGCTTCCAGGTTAAAGTAAGTGATAGCTCTCGTAAACAGCTGGAGGGGCTTCCAGGTTAAAGTAAGTGATAGCTCTCGTAAACAGCTGGAGGGGCTTCCAGGTTAAAGTAAGTGATAGCTCTCATAAACAGCTGGAGGGGCTTCCAGGTTAAAAGTAAGTGATAGCTCTCATAAACAGCTGGAGGGGCTTCCAGGTTAAAGTAAGTGATAGCTCTCATAAACAGCTGGAGGGGCTTCCAGGTTAAAGTAAGTGATAGATAGCTGGAGGGGCTCAGGTTAAAAACAGCTGGAGCTGGAGGGGCTTCCAGGTTAAAGTAAGTGATAGCTCTCGTAAACAGCTGGAGGGGCTTCCAGGTTAAAGTAAGTGACAGCTCTCGTAAACAGCTGGAGGGGCTTCCAGGTTAAAGTAAGTGATAGCTCTCGTAAACAGCTGGAGGGGCTTCCAGGTTAAAGTAAGTGATAGCTCTCGTAAACAGCTGGAGGGGCTTCCAGGTTAAAGTAAGTGATAGCTCTCGTAAACAGCTGGAGGGGCTTCCAGGTTAAAGTAAGTGATAGCTCTCGTAAACAGCTGGAGGGGCTTCCAGGTTAAAGTAGGTCACATGTAGCATATGCTTATGGCACAGAACTGAATGGATAAGGTGATTCGGCTCAAGTGTACCCAGACTTCGTGGGACTTTGCTAACAAGACCTTTTACGTAAGCTCAGTTGACCTCAGATTATAGATTTTAACCTTTCTTCCGCACATGTTGATTTCCTGTATGTAGAGTCAATGAAAGTCTCTGCTTGATCTTAAATCCAGTCATTTACAACTGTTCTTTTGTTCTAATAATTGGTCCACAAAGAAATCTATAGCTCTGGCTACTGTAACACTCTGAACTAGATACAACAAACAGGGGCCAAGTCATCTAAGTTGAGTTGCAGTTAGTTGTTTTCATAGCACATGGCAGTAACCTATCATTGTGGGTTCAGCTCTTCCTTTGCAAGTAATGTCTCTTGGTTGTAGGCACCATACCCATGCTTTTGCTGGGTCTCATCAATGCAGTAACAGTCTGAGATCAGCATCACTTCAGACTGTCCTCCCACAATAAGCTGACACACTGGGATATACCCGCGTTCAACCCAACTCACTCACTCATGCAGGAGGCCATTGGCCCCTGACTGCTGTGATACATCTAGGGAAGCAGACAATGTCAAAACCTGCTTGATTTCACTTGACAGATATTTTCTTCAGTAATATTTATGTTTCTAGTAATTTGTTTAAATTATTTCAGGCTGTTCTGGACTGAACGAAAAATTGGCAAGTCACGTGATTGGTTTAATCGTACAGTAAAGATTGACCCTGACCTTGGTGATGCTTGGGCATACTTCTTCAAGTTTGAACTGATGCATGGAGATGAGGTGGGTATTTTCTACATTTGTTCTTTTCTACATCTTTACCTTAACAGTACTCAAGCTTGCCCTTTGCTATCATGAACATTTCAGAGTTTGCATGCACTAAGTGTTTTCATCACACATGATCACGTGAACAGATCAACATATTCTGAGCACTCATTGGTCCAAACACTCACTGCCTTCACTCACATTGGAACCGGAGCCTCCTCTCACTTCACCTTACCTCACCTATCTCCTCTCACTTCACCTTATACCCTATCTCCTCCACTTCACCTTCACCTCATCTAACCTCTCACTTATCTCCTCTCACTTCACCTTACCTCACCTCACCCTATCTTTCACTTCACCTTCACCTCACCCTATCTCTCTCTCACCTTCATGCTTCACTTCATGGCATGGTATCTCAGTGGGCTAGCACTATAAAACCAGCTTCAGTCTGGCCTAGTACAAGCAGCATGCACATACACATACACACGCACGCACATTGTCATATGAGCAAAATATTCTCAAGCACGACGTTAAACCCAAATTCACCTCACACACCTCTTACCTAACCTCACTTCACCTTACCTCACCCTATCTCCTCTCACTTCACCTTGCCTCACCCTATCTCCTCTCACCTAACCTCACCCTCTCCATCATTGCGTGAAAGATGCCAGCAGCTGGAACAGTCTAGTAATATCAAAGCATAGTGATGGTAAACTTTACTTCACCTTTCAGCAAAGCCAGGAGGAGGTGGCGAGACGCTGCATCCAGTCCGAGCCCCACCATGGGGAGAAGTGGTGTCAGGTGTCCAAGGACATCAGCAACTGGAGGCTCAAGACAGAAGACTTACTTCCCCTTGTTGCTAATGCCATACCTCTGCCAACATGAGACAACGAATACAAGAGTGACCTCCCTTGAGTTATAGGAAGGCCTGCCTCAACCATACGACTTTACCATGAACTGTTAAGAGATCTTGTCCTTTCCTCCAGCAAGAGAGGATAAGGAAGAGTCAGCAATATGAAATGTCTTAAGCTGTTTTATGCAGATAATTGTGCATTGTTCTTGAAAAGAAAAGACAATTGTCACTGAAGTGGTTGCAGAGTTCCATCCACATTAAGGGTGGGATTTCGATTTTCATTTGAGACACACAAAGTCACTTTTTCCAAGATTTGACTTGCATGTTGTTGATGTACCGTACAGACCAACCGACCCTACTGAACTAGGCCCTGTATCCTGGTGGCCATGGGTGAATGTCACTGGTCCAGGGCATCTTGATGTTGATCAGGGCAACATCCGTCAGAGCACTATCACTTCATCTGTAAAAATCCTGAGTCTGTAAATACACCTGGTGCATGTTTTAATTCACTGAATAGCTAACTTGCCTTGTCAATTACCTGATGAAGTGATGTATTTGTTTTCCTCTAAAAGTATTTTGTGCAGGATGCAAGGTGTCCTGCACCATGTATTGTTCCTGGGGTGTCTGTACAGTGTCATTACCAAAGACAACATTCATGGTGGTCACATCCATGATGTATTGTCCTAGACATCTGGGTCTGTTAGCTTGGATTCACTTGGAGGGTTCCAGTATATGGAGGTCTCCAGTATATGGATGGTTCCAGTATATGGAGGGTTCCAGTACATGGAGGGTTCCAGTATATGAAGGGTTCCAATATATGGGAGGGTTCCAGTATATGGAGGTCTCCAGTATATGGAGGGTTCCAGTATATGGAGGGTTCCAGTACATGGAGAGTTCCAGTATATGAAGGGTTCCAGTATATGGAGGGTTCCAGTATATGGAGGGTTCCAGTACATGGAGGGTTCCAGTATATGGAGGGTTCCAGTATATGGAGGGTTCCAGTATATGGAGGTCTCCAGTATGTGTGAATTGTACTGTTAAATGTGTTTTGTTAATGACTTCAATCATTGTAAATATTCATGAGAACTAATGAATAAATTTGTAACAAAATTTAACTGAACTGTTTCTGCAGCTGTTGTCATCAACTGTCCTGTAACAGACTTCAGACTTTAGAAATTGTCCTTATTCAGCAACTTAGTGCCATGCTTCTCCGCCATCACATGTCTGTACATCACATGTTTGATAACCATATCAGACCCTACACCACACTGGTATTTGAAATATAGAAGTTGTTTATCCATAAAATGATCTGTGTTTGATGATGGTGGTGTTTTATGCCATATTAAAGTGTACTGTCACAAAATGAAGGTAGATATTAAGCCAGCTAGTAATGTCAGTACAGGTATTTGTTTATAGTCACACAAGTAAAATACCGATCATGTATCTTTGAATCAGAACATGACAGACACAATTTATGTATGTCTTCTTGTTCAACAAAGGTTGATTGTATCCACAGGTGAGTCTTGAAGTGTGGCATATTATGGCAGTGGGGTTAAATTATTATTTTGGCCGGCTGCATTTTTTGGTACCCAACATGTGTATGATGAGTGAAGCCTTTTATCTAGTGTCGGAGCCCTGATATTGCTGGGATTGCCATATTCAGAAGTCACTCACGTATGCACGAACTCACTCACTCCACATTGTTGTTTTAACAGTGAGAGACTCCTACAAGGTGAACGTTTCAAACCCGGTTATTCTACCACCTCAGAGTCGGCCCTCACCATCGTATAGTGCACAGTCAACTACATTGGTAGACACTACTGGTCATATCATACTTAACCACATATCGTTTCTCAACTAGTGTATGCAATATAACTCAATTTAAAAAAATAAATAGTCCCTAAAGATTTTCACTAGTGTCGGTCTACCTCAGATAAATGTTCGTGTATGGCCTAGCCTTGCGTGAGTGAAACTTTTGAACCATTATCTGCTTGCTCGTTTGTCCCGGATGCAGCCTGACACAGCTAGAAATGCAGTTGCAGCTACTTTAAACACCCACTGGTGATGTGTTAATGAATATATTACTTTGGTTTTATGTTTAACATTTACTTTCTAATTGCTGGTATTCGTGGGGTTAAGTTGTGTCCCTTATAAGTGCCAGAATAGAATGTGATCAACTGCTCAAATTGAGTCTCCAAACCTTGTCCGTTCCATGCCTGTGCTGGTTGGTTTTAGTAAATTTCTGGCACTTGTAGCATGCTGGGCGACCCGTGAAGATCATTGTTAGAATTGGTCTTCAGCAACACATGCTTGTTGTAAGAGGCGACTTACGTGATCGGGTGATCAGGCTCGCTGACTTGGTTGACACATGTCATACTACAACCCAATTGCGTAGATCGATGCTGATCACTGGATTGTCTGGTCCAGACTTGATTATTTACAGGCCGCTACCTTATAGCTGGAAACTTGCTGAGTGCGGCGTTAACCACAAACCATCAAACCAAGCATGTTGGGCTTTACTCCCACATGAAGACAAAACGCTGTGATATAAACGAAATAATGCGCAAAACGGCTTTAACCGAAACTCAGTGTTGCCTGCTCATCTGGATGTTCGCGGAGTAAACACAGGCTATTACGATCTGTAGTCTCGAACTTCTTAATGCATGATAGTCTCTGTTATGTATTTCACTGGACACGTGCTTCAGTCGTGTTGATTGATCATTGTAACATTTCAGTAGGTTCCAGTATACAGCGGCGCTAAGACAATAACAACGCCAATGTTTACATAGGTTCACGTCCGGTGGTTGTCCGATGCTGCAGGCTACATCCACAGCAAGGGGCTCCAGATGGTTAACCTGGGGCCAATTCACGATTGTTGGGTTTATCGCAGTTTCAGAAACAATCATAAGACCTGACGACCATGTTGGGAGCAGGTCAGTCACACGGCGCCAAGATTGCTGTATCTGTTGGCCCAGACACTTGATCGTCCAGGGATATCTGGTTCAACTTGATCTTAATGTACTGCTCTCGGACCAGACTGTTGGTCGTTTCCGACGGTGATTCATTAAGATTCCGTATCTTTTGAAAATCACGAAACATTTCGCGGAATACATAAGGATAAGATATTTGGATAAACAACGTCTTGATGTACAACGTGTACAACAGGTGTATGTAACAGAGACGCCTATAAAGCACATTCTATAAAATAAGGTGCCACTCCTGTTGTAAGCCGTGTCGAAGTGTCCATCTTTTCTGAAATGTAAGAAGATTCCTTTATCGATGGTATCCTGTATACAATTAACAGTGAGGGGATTTTGCTTAGCATCAGCAATTTTGTTGTTTTTCGCCGAGAATATATATGAAATTAACACAATAATGTCAGCTTAACATGTCACGTAGTTAAAAGCCCTACCACATACTATTTAACATGCTACATCCCAGATACTAGTCTGTCTCACAGTCCCTGAACCACGTTATTTTCCCTTCCACCTAGCCCTCCTTGCAATGCTAAAGCCCTAAATGAAGCAAGTCTAGATTTCCCCAGGTTTTAGGTAGGGCTCCTTTTCAGTTTAAGACCAGAAACAGACCGCCTTCGTGGTCCAGTGGATAGAACGTTTGCCTGGAGAGCCGCAGGGTGGTGGTTCGATCCGCAAAGCGATAAGAACGTGTCTCGCACTCAGCATTAAGGGGACATAAAGGAGGATTGCTTGGCACCGAGTCGCTACACTGTATCTTGGTGTGGGGTATCCATGTTAACCAGACAAGGTATCTATTTGGGATACCACTATAGAACTGGTATTAGTCCGTGCTAATAGAACAAGCAGCCACACACATACACGTTCATGCACGTCGCTTTTTATATGCAGTAATCGCAAAGTTAACCCATCTTTATTTTTCACAATGACGACTTACTGCAAGTTCTTGATGTCACTGTAAGAGGTGACTCGGACTTGGGTTATGCATGTTATCGTATCCCAGTTGCGTAAATCGATGCTCATGCCGCAGCTCACTGGATTGTCTGGCCCATACTTGGTTATTTAAGGCCACCGCCATATAGCTGGAAATTGCTGAGTGCGGCGCTAAACACTATTGTGTAACATGTACCTCTGTTTTAATCTTATATGATCATGACGTGAGGTGAGGTGAGGTGAAATTGGGTTTAACATCGTGCTTGAGAATATTTCGCTCATATGACGACGTGCATGCGTGTGTATGTGTATGTGCGGCTGCTTGTACTAGCCCAGACTGAAGCTGGCTTTCTAGTGCTAGCTCACTGAGATACCATGCCGCAATGAAGCATGAATACCCCACTCAGACACATTATACTGACTCCGAGCCGACCAGTCCTTGATGTACCCATTAATGCCGAGCGCCAGGCAGAGACCAACACGTACCGTTATTTTAACGTCTTTTGGTATGACGCGGTCGGGGAATCATAACATGTACTTCGTGACATGTAGTTCGTGGTTTTCGCATTGTAATAAATATCCCGTATTAAGCCTGTGGCTCTCAATTTGTTTCCACCAGATACACGTCTACTATATTCTCATGTCTCAATAACCATCAATGAATTCGCCGTCAAGACCAACCCAACTTCCGAGTTTTAAAAACCCTCCTCCCCGATAACATCGACTATACATCCTGATACAAACCCAATTAACTGAGGTATAACCTAAAACTCTGGTTCTCATCCTTCCTGTGGCACACCCTCCACATGATCAAATCCACATACATTACCCGTGTTATCATACAGTTAACACTTTGAGTGAAGGTACATTTCACAGAAGTAAATACGTCCTCATGTAGAATAACCGTAACGTAAACCAGTCCACGAAGATAGGCTGGATGATGACCAAAGTCAGATTATAATCAGACATACTCACAGCTGAAAATAAACCAGAGCATACCGTCGTACAGTCTGATATGAAAACTGAACAGCTTAACTCGCCGACATTTCGAGTGAACAGATTCCGAATGTAAAGCATCCATTATCATATCAGTTCGCAATATTCAAAGTTTCTTCCTCACGTGAACCGGTCGTGTCATCCAACTGTTTGCAATATTAGATACACGAAGAAAAAGAGATACACCACAACCGAAGAGCTGTAGCTATTTTACAGAAATACAATGCAAAAGAAATTACGATATTGTTAAATTATCTTAATCAAATCTGGAAACATGACACCAAGAGACTTTTTTTATTTTCACACACTCCAGTAATCTAGACTTGCCTACTGTGATAAGGGATATATTATATCTGTTTGTTTCAGAGACAGCCGAGCAATTCAGTTTACAGTCAACAATAGTCTCAGTAAACTAAAAGTGTGAAGATTGAGTTTTATTTTCCCGTGGTTAAAGGCGCAATCTTCCTCTGTGACTGACCCTTAAATGTACCTCTTTGGCATTTCTAGGTTAATGGCCATCCTGCTCCTACTACACCAGTTATGTAGGGCATTACAAAGTAAACGATCAGCCGCCGTTATAACCGGCTTGCCATATTACCGCCCGATCATCTGCAGATGCCAAGACGGTAATACATACACACACACCTCTCTGACAAATAGTGTTTGCCCTTAACCCTGCAAAGCTGCAGTCCCTTACGACCCAGAATCGATCATCAGTTGTGGGTCCTGATCAGAATGTGTAGGCTCTATATTCTAATATGGAAATAATACTCTTAGTTATTGGGGACCTGTAGAAAACAAAACCTATGGGTCCGTGTGGTTTTTCAGTCGGCTTCGGGCCTACGGACCAACGTTAAGTTCGAACGCTGCTCATCATTTGCTTGATAACGGTGTTAGAACCTTCACCGAAACGTCGCTCTCACAGCAATAAAGAAGTTGTTCATCCATATATATTGTTATCCTTCCTTGCTGCTGACAAGCCACCACACGCAGGACCACGCAACAAGGAAACCACGTTCACGTGCCCCATTGAGAACTGGTTTTAACTGGGGATGACGCTGTGCGCGGGATCAACCGGGAGACTGAGTTGTCACCTCAGCGCCCCACAAGGACTGTCAACACTTCAAACGTAACAACTTTAAAATTATCTCCACATCAGAATGTTGATATCTCATTGGTTCACGTGATCTTGATATATACATTTTACATGT